AATAAGAAAAGATGTTATGGGATGCTGGAGGAGCACAGTTCCAGCTGGACGCTTTCCACTAGTAGTAGCTTTGCCTAGATATTGGACATTCTCTACGTCAGTAAGTTGTTTTAATATGTCTGAAAGGACCAACCTGCGGGATTGACGGGTGCCATTTGTAATGATGAGGGAAACTGACGTTGACGAAATTATGAGGGACTGGTAACCGGGAGATGCTAAAAAGCTGGAACTGGCTGCTATATAAAGTCTGAAACGCGTGTGTCCATGTTTGTCGCCTTTCTCCATTCGGTGTATGGCCCGGATTCATTTTGAATTTGATTTCCACTTCAGTTTCAAGCACATCTGTTATGCAGCTATTCAATAGAACATTGTTATTGCGACTTAGGTGCAAGGGTACGTTACACGTGATTGAATAATCTGACAACGAAGATGAAGGCTCGACTTGGTGACCACATTGGCTATGATTATTATATCCTCAACTAAGGAACTTGTGCATGGCAAGGACATTCAATCTCAATGGCCAGCAGGAGCAGTTGTGCCTGTAGCCTTCCCGGAATTTCGTCCCGGATCCGTGATTACATACTTCTAATAGTAGCAGTTGTATTTGTATGAGTCTGTTGCAATGGTGTGCGCTGTTCGCGTGATACAATACAATGTTGTGCCAAACGAATCATGGTTTGTGTGATTCGACGTCGACCCCGATGACGCTGGTGCAATGTAAAGCTTAACTATGTGCCAAACGGACGAAGTTTACAATATTCAGCATATTCTCGCATACCTTTAAACGGGTAATCTACATATCGCATATGGTCCTCTCCCCAAAACCAGTTCATACTGGGGTGAACCTTCATGTGGTTAAACGGAACAGGACTCATTTTGGGAATGTATGTACATTCACGACTCTCGAAGTAGATGCATTCCACCCAAACCCATACTTTAAATTCGTAAGCTGCTGTGAGAACTTGACAGGACGGACGAGTGTAATGACACATTTCAAACTTCATACACATGCATTTTTCAGTAAGGTCAAAAAACAACATATCGAAGAACACATCATACTTGTATCGACAATGGATAGTTCGTTTGTACAAATGAGCGCATTGACAAGTGCAACAGGTTAAGAGGACAGCTAGAATGGGTAAGTGTCATGTTAGTCAAGCAGCATAGACTCATCATCACTGTCATCATCCGCCATTTTTGCATCCTGTTGCATCGCCATCACCATTTCCCCTTGACGTTTGCTCTTCCCCTTCTTTCCCAAAACTTTTTTGCTCTGCCCTTCTTGAGTAAACGCCGCAACTTGAGCTCTTTCAGCGTTAGTGACCTCCACGAAAAAGTTTTGGAGGTCGGCTGATGGGGGGAAATGATGCCAGAATAGCTGAGGCGCGCGCAACTTGGATACAAGCCTGAAATGCTTGTTGTCCTCGGTATTCTTGATCCAAGAAGACCTCCACTTGCATGAGGCGCAACGAAGCTGAACCTTAGCACCTTTGTTGTGCACGCGCATATCTGCGGGGACCGGCTGACACTTGGGGGTAGGACAGGATTTGAATTCGTATCCGAAAGCTCGAGTTCCCGCAATGTCCTTACTAATCTGACGACATTCAGCAACCCGCTTGTTGTCCACTGTGCTTGCGAATACAACAACAGCCGTTGTGTAGTCCAAGAAGTCGTTCGAGCACACAAGTATCTCGCAAATAGCCTGCCAAACATCTGTGCCTCCAAAGACGCCCAACTCTATAACGATGGAGCGCACCGCATTGGAGACCATGGAGGGCAATGTGCCCGATCCGCCGAATCCAATTACGAAGTCGACCAAATTGCTGGAAAACTGTGAGTAACAACAAAGAATGTGGAGCAAAGAACGCACCGTTCCACCAACGCTTTCACCGCCTCAAAATGGTGGCTCACCCTGATCGCAGGGCCGCAGCTCACCATAATCAACACCCTCCGTCCACCCCTAGCCTGAGCGGTGAGGTTGCACCAAGTCTCACTTCCATTTAAGGTCTTCACCACAGTCTTGTCGCTCTTCGCTACTGTAGAAGATTGTCCCATGACGGACAAAAACTGTTGTCCAAGATACGCGAGGAGTATTTCGGTGATGGTTGTGCTTGTGCCACCTGTGTGGCCTCCAGTGTGCTGCAGCATACCAGTGAATTCGTCCGAATGCGTGTCCACCACAAGGAACACGTTGGGAGGATATCCAGCGCTCACATTGCGACTTATGAAGTCTATGCCGGGAGCCAGCTTTTTCGACTCGGACTGGTGGGCACTACCCCGCATATGTAAAATAGTAGTGTATAGCTGTACAACAAGTATTTTGAAAAAACATGTTAGCAGCAAGACGGGCAGTGATATAAGCGGTACTTGCATTGTCCTCAAAGGTTCTATAGTGATTCTGCGCCTCCAGTATCACTGTGTTAGCGAGATAGTCATCCTTCATAGACTCGAGGGTAAGATTCACGATGGCCATCGGCCAGGCCATCTTGACTTTCTTCCTCTTACCAAATCCAATGAAAGCATAACGCAAGGGCTTATGGTTCCCCTCTCCCATCCTCGAGCACATAGGGCACCTGAATTCGCTCTCCGGGACTTCGACAGACTTTAAATATATGCACCCACTGCTGCGAGGGCGGTCTTGCTCGCAAACGATAGCCCCACAGTTGACACATTCGTGATTGTAAGGTACATTCGTCTGGTCACAACAAAAGTGACAGAAGGTGCCCACTCTGACAGCCGGAGAGGAAGAGTCGGTGCCTTGGGTTTGAACGGGAACGACAGGTGCAGCTGTGATGATGCTAGACTCATGTTGCAAGGAGGTGTCATTTGGAAGAAGGTTGGAGAGGTTGAAGGATGGAGATGGACCGCTGACCATATTGATCATACTGCCCAGGTTGACAGAGGATGCACTTGCTCTTGAAATGCCACTGAAAATCGCACCGACTTTGGCTTTCTTCTTAGGCTGTTTGGGGACTTTGGGGACTTTGGCGGTTTTGTCGGTTTGTTTTTTGGGAGGCATCAATATAATGTATGGCTAGAAACTTTATAGATGGATGAAAGACAGGAAGATTGAAAATTTCAACCCTTGTTCTGTGTTGTCAATATATACTCAGAGAAACGTGGCATGGGATCGTTCGGTCCGATTCAACCTCAGATCCATGATTTTTGCCCTGGAACATATATGTACAAACGACAAACGACAAACAAATATCATCTTATATTGAACGACGCCCGTAATGCAATGACTTTGCAACTTTCTATTGTACACAATACAAGATACCAGTTGCCATCGATGCTTGTGAGTATTAGTCGGTTTGACATATCTTTATTCTACATATGATGGGTGAGCCGAGCAAGTTGATCGTTTGTAAAGAAGCTTGGCTTCATCATTCAAAATTTGCATATTATCCCGGTGTGAGCCACTGTTGTTAGGATATATCTAGAAAGCCAATTGCATGAATTGTCGGGCTCATAACACTATACATACTTATTGTGCATGCGGAATCAGAATGTTTGGAATTGTTAATAGGCACTCTTGAGTACTCAGCAGTATGCAGAACCGATTCGGGTATGAAAGGAGAATGCTCAAATCCAAATGACCATTAATCCAGTCTCACATCTGAATATCTAGCTTATATGCTCAGGCTGTCGTTTGTCGTCTAGGCACTTTCAATGCATGCATTCTTTTCCGTTCATTTCCTCTTACCCGAATCCGTGCCCACCCTAGGGGGGGGGTAGTTCATAGGTTTCATCTAGGTTTCATGTATTCCAGTGACTGTTTTCATGTCATATGACTGAGTTTCATATGAGTTTCATATAGGTTTCACGTGAGTTTCATATGAGTTTCACTATAGCAGTGATATTTCTTATGTCTTATGACTGACTTTCATATGAGTTTCATCTAGGTTTCATATAGGTTTCATATAGGTTTCACGTGAGTTTCATATGAGTTTCACTATAGCAGTGATATTTCTCATGTCTTATGACTGACTTTCATATGAGTTTCATATAGGTTTCTCCGTGCCCACCCTAGGGGGGGGGTAGTTCATAGGTTTCATCTAGGTTTCATGTATTCCAGTGACTGTTTTCATGTCATATGACTGAGTTTCATATGAGTTTCATATAGGTTTCACGTGAGTTTCATATGAGTTTCACTATAGCAGTGATATTTCTTATGTCTTATGACTGACTTTCATATGAGTTTCATCTAGGTTTCATATAGGTTTCATATAGGTTTCACGTGAGTTTCATATGAGTTTCACTATAGCAGTGATATTTCTCATGTCTTATGACTGACTTTCATATGAGTTTCATATAGGTTTCATATAGGTTTCATATGAGTTTCACTATAGCAGTGATATTTCTCATATCTTACGACTGACTTTCATATGAGTTTCATATATGTTTCACATGGGTTTCATATCTAAATTTCACTATAGCAGTCAGATTCATGTCATATACTTTTCATATCATATCACTGAGTCATACAGGTTTCACATAGGTTTTATCAGGGTGTTATATAACATTTTATAAGGGCATTACACATAAGTCATAGGATACAACATGTGCTGTGATTATCAAACCATATGAGTTTCACCACATTTCTCAATGTTATCCTATGGATTTCTCCAGTTTTTGGTTGCAAAATTACCCCCCATTTGTAAGTATCACGGAGTACCTCCTAAGGAGATAGTCAAGGTCAACAAGGGGAGTCACTATTCTCATATATTACTATATTCGTATGGCCATATATGATCAAGTATAAGTGGAGGAGCCACTATTATCATATATCACTATATTTGTATGACCATATATGATCAAGTACAAGTACAAGTACATTGAAGTATTGTTGGGTCAGTGCTACGCCAAACTGCTATACTTGCTAAAGCAAGAATTTTCTATCCTGAGGGTATTGCCACTATGAACAGTTGGGGAATAAAAAGATACTCTCAAGTGCAATGGTTTTTGCAAGTAAAACCAGGTAATGTGAAAGCACAGAAAAAAGGCATGTGTGCAGAACCTTGTACCATTGAATCCACTAGTGTGTAATTGACCTGGACCTGAAGATATGTCAGTTTGGTCGATTCCTCATATTGCACAGAACATGATTTCAATTTCCTTCCCACATATATCAGAGTGAACAATGTCAAGAGGATGTTGTGCATAATGTGAATTGGACTTGTCCCTGTAGCCCTTCCTCAGTTTTATTTTACTCAGGATTTTGTCCTGAATAGCCTTCATACATATTCTTATCAAGAGGACAAAACTCCATTGAAATTTCTGGAAGTTCCTCCAGAACGTTTCTGCACTCCTTTGGAAGTTTCTCACACTCGACCAGAAAGTCCTTCCAAAGTTTCCATGCTCATCTGGAAGTCCTTTGGACTTCATTGGACTTTCTCTGGACTTCATTCTGAAATTAAGGGCACATACTCAGGTAAGGGGCACAGTGCATGAGCTGAAGCCAAGCCTCTCAGAATTAGTCCTATCCTCTGTGCACAGTCTTAACACCTATGATGCAAGGTTTGCATGTGCATAAGGGATGCAATATATCTTTGCAATGCTTATTAGGATGTAGCTGAGGCCAGGAAACTAAAAGAAGTGACCTGTATGACTCAGTCATATGATATTGTGAAACTCATATAAGACTCAATCATATGACATATCACTGCTATAGTAAAACTTGTATGAAACCTATATGAAACTTATATAAGACTCAGTCATATGACATTAAAAGTATCATTACTATAGTGAAACCCATATAAAACTCATGTGAAACCCATATGAAACCCATATGAAACTCAGTCGTATAGCATTAAAAGTATCATTACTATAGTGAACCTCATGTGAAACCCATATGAAACCCATATGAAACTCAGTCATATAGCATTTAAACCACAATGCAAACACTATGGGGTATGCTATGACTTCCTTCGATCCACTTTGTGTGAGTATCATTACTATAGTGAAACTCATGTGAAACCCATATGAAACTCAGTCATATAGCATTAAAAGTATCATTACTATAGTGAAACTCATATGAAACCCATATGAAACTCAGTCATATAGCATTAAAAGTATCATTACTATAGTGAAACTCATGTGAAACCCATATGAAACCCATATGAAACTCAGTCATATAGCATTTAAACCACAATGCAAACACTATGGGGTATGCTATGACTTCCTTCGATCCACTTTGTGTGAGTATCATTACTATAGTGAAACTCATGTGAAACCCATATGAAACTCAGTCATATAGCATTAAAAGTATCATTACTATAGTGAAACTCATATGAAACCCATATGAAACTCAGTCATATAGCATTAAAAGTATCATTACTATAGTGAAACTCACGTGAAACCCAGTCATATAGCATTGAAAGTATCATTACTATAGTGAAACTCATATGAAACTCAGTCATATAGCATTGAAAGTATCATTACTATAGTGAAACTCATGTGAAACTCATATGAAACCCATATGAAACTCAGTCATATAGCATTGAAAGTATCATTACTATAGTGAAACTCATGTGAAACTCATATGAAACCCATATGAAACTCAGTCATATAGCATTAAAAATCTCACTGTTATAGTGAAACTCATATGAAACCCATATGAAACTTATATAAGACTCAGTCACATGACATTAATATCTAAGAAGTAAAGTGTGACAGTTTTGGGAGGGGTTGCCAGCTCATGTGGTTTGTGTCATATCCTGCATTCTGGACCCGGACTTATCACACACATCATTTCCGGACATCCGGATCCGGCCGACGTCTATCTATGTTTGGATCCGACCCGTGTCTAACTTCTGTGCCTTATCCCTTTGTACATTCCTACTCCAGTTAGACTATATCATTTTCCATATCTCATTTCATTTCCACCCTTGATTTTCCTCTGATCTAATCTCCAGATTCATTTACTATTTTCCGATAGACTAGTGTTTGACTTTTCTATATGCTCCGTCCACAGCTTTGTATAGCTTCGGACTGTGCTTCTTGGTTCTCTGATAAGTCCTGAGTAGTATATAAACCCTGTAGAATCTATGTACATCCTTAGTTCAAATATTATCTTAGACTCTGCTCATTCCCTCTTCTGTCCGACTTGAGTTATCCTCTCGTCGACCTCCGCTCATCTTAGAGTTGATTCCTATAGACTTGTCATCTCCACCTCTACCTTTGGTAGTCCTCCGCTGTTTCCTTTCTAGTTCAGACTTCATCCGGATTAGTCTTATCTCCTGTTCCTGAACGTCCGCTGGAATTCCCACGCATCGGACATCGCCCAATGCCCTCCGGACATCATCTGGTAACCTTTGGACATTGTTCGACAGCCCTCGGAAGTTAGGGGCACAGCACACGAGCTGAAGCCAAGCCCTTCGGATTTGATCCTTGAGCGCGTTCTTAACAGTATATTTGAACTCACACCTTACTGAGGCACCTATACAGGCACAGAATGTTCTCAACGTGGCGGGTTTAGTAACCACCTGACGGGACTCTACTCCCATAGTCGATGCCTTCCTCAGTTTCTCTCAGTGCCGCGCTAGTGTGCAAGGCGCTGCCTCCAGCATTCACAAC